ACTATTCAGACTTGCATCCTCCCTGCCAAAACATGCCTTGTTTATCCCCCACTCCATGCTCATTGAGACTGCAAACCTCTCAGCCCTTTCTTCCAGGCCAGCTTCATCTCCACCTCTGAGCCCCCTCCTTCCTTCCAGCTCCCCGGCACTTCGTGTTTTGGTACTTCGGCTTGCTCTGTCTGTTAAATGCTGCGTGTGTTTAGCTTGTTTTTCCAGCTCTGTGGTAGAGGACCGGTGTGGGAACCTCTCTGGGGGAAGTGGTGGTTCTCCTCAGCAGCCTGCACAGCTCTCTTAAGTGGGGCAGGTGCTCAGGAAAGCAGCGCTGAGTGAACGTCGTAGGCTCTTTGCTTCTCTTAGCGGCCCCACCTCACGTTGGATTCCCCACCATGACATACCAGACCGACAGTCCTCTGGGGACAGGAAGCAGCCCACGTCCTGAGAAGGCCCACTCCATTACTGGGCCATTCTGATTGTTGGAAAAGTCTTTCTTGTAATCAACCTGAAATCTGCTCGGTGACTCTAGTTCTGCCCTCTGGGGCTTTAGAGGGAAAAGGGGGAAAAAAAGACAAGCCCGCTTCCTCTTCCACAAGGCAGCCTTTTCGATTTTCAAGGATGATGAATATATTTCCCCTTCCAGGGTTGAGGTGTTGACGAGGCACTATTTAAATTTTGAGTGGCAGTTAGACTAGACTCTGATTGGTTATTTTTTTCAAGGCCTTTTACGAGCAGGTTGGGAGTGCTAGGTGCCATGTTCTTTCAGTCCCCTCAGTGCAATCACCTGCTTGTCTCTCTCCCCACCTCTCTCTCTCGGGGGGAAAGTGGGTGGCTCTTCTTAGCCAGGATGTTCTGTTTGAAAGGTAGTGGTAAAAGGTGAGCTGTTCTTAATCTGGTACCCTCAGTAGTCCCAGATAAGTCTCTTGGGCAAGTGCTGTGTGAGGGCTGGTTTTTTGTTTGGCTGCACCTGCCAGATGAAACCAATGAGAAGAATTAGGGAGTAAAAGAATCTCCCGTTGATAGAGCGCCCAGGGCCAAGCAAGACCTGGCATTTGTAGGCTTTCTGCGTACAGAGAACATTATTCTTCATTTCCTCCCTCCATCCCTCCCTGAAGTCCCACCCAGAACACTTGACTGTTCTTTGCACCCACGAGGCAGTGTGGTGGTGTACCAGACAGGTAGACCTGGGCTTCAATGCTGATGCTGCCACTGAGAAGCTCTGAGACTGCAGGCAAGGTAACTAACTTGCTCTGTGAGCCATTGTTTTCCCATCTCCAAATCACCCCCTCTCCATTGTGGAATTAAGGGAGAAATCGCTTGGTTAGCTCTGGGTCCGGCCCCAGTTACACAGAAGATGTGCGGACACTAGCTTCCTGCTCTGCTTTCTTCTTTCTCCAGCTTTCTTTCACAACCAATTTTGAGAGATTTATAGGCAAAACACTCTGTGGCCTCCCTGGGGGAAATGAGCTGAATGTGGGTCTGGTAGGGAAAGCTAGCCTTAGGTGGGTATTTGGGAACAAACTGTCAGTTTCCTGTGAGCTCCTGGTGAGATCAAAGCCGGTAAAGTGAGCCCTCAAGTAGGGGAGGCTGAGAAGGTCGTAAATGGCAGCGAGCGGCCACTCTGGCTACTGTTGCTTCCGCACGTTTCTGAGCTGTTGAATCCTGACTGCCTGCTGCCCACAGGGAACAAAGCCTCTTCCCTGGCTGCTCAACTGCATGTGGCGACCCTTCAACTGAAATGGTTTACTTGGGGACCCCTCTTGATCTTTATTGAGCTGACTCTTCGGGGGTATATTCTCTCCACATTTGCTTCTACCATTCCATGTGTTCCTCCACCACTAGCTGCTGTCAGCCACATTCTACATTCAAGAAATTCAGTCATTTCCGAGCTGAAAATTTCCCAGCAGCCACACCCATACCCTGTTAATAGGTAGAAACCTCCTGTACATAAATTTGAAGTGCACAAGGGAGCTGTGTTTTGCAGCCATTGAGCAGAGTTAAGAACCAAGAAAATAACTTCTGAAGCCTGTAATCCTCCTAATGAAAGGAGGAGGGGAAGACAGGAGCTGTGGGGTTGGAGCTTCCGTGGAGGAGCCCCTCCCTGTCTCTCAGCAGATGATTCACAGCTTTTTATGTGCTGGGGGCCAGGGATACCCTGACAGGATGCTTAGACTGGGCACAGGCAGGGGCGAAATAACCAAACCACGAGGCGACACTGCCCAGGGGAGAATGACTGTGGGCAGAGGCTTCCCCGAGGAGACAGCCAGACCGTGAAGGACAGGCAGGGTGTGGGAAGTACCCTCACCTCAGCCAGAGAATCCTGTGAATCAAGGTGGAGGTTTAACTGTCTCAAGACAGAGCAATGCAGAGAGAGTGGATGTGTCCCCATCAGCCCCCACTGAATATTTTCAATTATATAATGGTCAAATTTTGCCTTGGACAAAATAAAACACCTCCACTCCCGGGCAGCTCTTTTCCTGTGTTTCCTTTAAACACTAATGGACATTCCTATCTGAGGAATGGGTCAAACAGGGGGATTGCTCATAAGAATGTAGTATCCTGTTTCTGCCTGGTTCTGACAAGCCTCCTTGTCCTCTCTGGTCACCGTCCTAGTGCATTTCAGGGTAAAATCACAGCTCAAAGCAGATTTTGAACCTGAGTGGTTTTTGGTGGGCCATGACTAATCCACAGTCTGACTGTCCCGGTGCTTGGACTGTCCTGTGACTCAGGCAGAGCTGGTGAAAACCAGCAGTCACGACGTCTCCATCCTGCAAGGCCTTCTCCTCTGTTCCCAGAGCCAAACCCTCACACTCAGGTGTTTATTTTCACACATAGTCACACCGCTGGTGGCACTGGCATGCTTGTTTTTACACTCCCTTCCTGCTGCGGAAAGCCCTGTCTGAGATTCTAGGCTGTGGATTCCTTCCTCTCCACCCAGCTGAGTGTTAAATAGCTTCTGAGTGAGCATTCAGAGCGCCTCGAGGTTACTGTGATTAGCAAAAAAAGAAACTGTTTTTCCCTCTCTCTCGGTGACTGATAGAGAAAGAATCCTCCTGTGAGCAGAATCAGCTTCAGATCTCTAGCTAGAGAGTTGGGAATTGAGCTGCCACGGTAAACAGCTGACATAACAGAAGCTGCAGTGATCCCCCATTAAATGTCTTTCAGCTGATAGGGGCTCCCGGGATAATTGACTTTCCAGCAGGAATTACTGGCTCAAACGAAATCACTGGGCATTAGGGTGACCTGCTGCAGCCTTTGAAAGGGGGCCGTAACTCTGTCTGGCTTTGCTGACCAGACAGGCATAATTCATCTTGATTATTCATTGTGCTAGTTGCCACCAGATGACACCAGGTTTCTGTTGACTGTAATTACAGCCTGGGTTTTAGCTTTTTTTTTTTTGAAACAGTGTTCCACTTGGTTGTTGGCCTCCCTGAGCTGAAGGTGCTGTAGGAAGGTTTCTACAGTGTCTGCCTGGGGAGATGATGTGAGCACAGCCAGATAGCATTTCCTGAGCACTTCCTTACGCACGTCTTGCAGTAGATAAGCAGGGAAACAATTTGATGGAGCCTGTTTCATGTCAGCTGACAGGGTGTCACTTCTTCTTGGTTATCCTTAACCTGGTGTGTGGTAAATTGCTGTTCTCACAAAGTGAGCCTACAGCTCAGCCCACTCCCCAGCCCCAGATGCCCTCCCCAGCCAGCTGGGTGGCACGCTGCGCTTGTGCATGTGGGCGCCTTGGCCCTGGAGGAGAGAAGAGAGAGGATGGTCTCTGTGTCCAGTGCCATCCCTGGCTCCTTCATTGACAGTTGGGACGAGGTGAACAGGCGACTTCTGCTCTGACATTTCACCCACTCCACTGGAAGAGGGCCTTTTGGACGCTCCTATGTGGTATCCGTGTCTGTATATTTTTTTTTTTAAGAGGTGCTTAATTGGTTCAAATAATTAGCTAATGCCTTTTAACAATGATTATAGTTGATCACATATTCACTGGAGCCTTAAAATTGTCAGGCAGTGTGCTGTGTGCTACAGGTACAGAGATGAAGAAGACACTTTGCTTTCAAGGAGCTTACAGTATGTGGGGATGACAAATAATTCCAAAATAATATGTCAGGTTCTAAGCTCAAGATGTACAGAGAGTGCTTCCAGAGAACTTGTGCATCCGGGTATGAAGGGAAGGCTCCCTCTAGAAGATGATGACTGATTTGAAAAAAAAGAGTTACTCAACTGAATAAAAGCGGGAAGCAGATTTCAAGAACATAAACAAAAGCATATTTGCCATTTCCTCCCAATCAGTTGAATGGTGTTGGTTTGACCTAATCAATTAAATTAGGATTAGGTTTTCATTACTTCTTTAATGAAAATGAACTTCACCCTAATGGAACAGTCTCTCTGTATCTTGGGAGTAATCTCAGGCCCTGGGGGCCCTCATGTCACTAGGCAGTTCTGATCACTCGAGTTAGGGCTTCTGGTGGTGAGGCTTGGCTGAGCGACCACAAGATCTTCAAGATCTTCATCTTGCTCCCTTTGACCCCTTATCTTCCACTGAAGTGTTGTGCGCGAGGCCAGGCTAGGTATCTTCACAACCTACCGTATAATTTACAGGCACACCATAAAACATACAAACATATGTCACACTGAACCTACAGAAAAATGGTTCACCTCAGAGCTATGGCTTCCAGAACATCAACTGGGGATGAACCAGGTCTCAAAGCTAGGCCTTTGTGTCCCCTCTTCCAGGGTTATCAGGTATAAGTAACACCCACTCCCCTCCAGCAGATGAAGATGATTCTTCCACCTGACTCCCTCTGGTTTTGGAACCATAGTTGAAAGCAAAAAACCAAGATGTCCCTTTTAGGGGGGCAGAGGCGGTTACTCAAGCAGTCAGTCTTTCAGTGTGAGCCAGGAGAGCACAGTTGCTCAGGGTCCCCCTTTACACCCTAAAAGACTGCCTTGCCCCCTCACTCCCTGCCTACTGCCTTCTGACCTCTTGCTTTGTTCCCCTTTAGAATGGTGGTTTGACCTGGAGTGATGATGCAGATGGAGGCCGGGGAAGAGAGATCTCTCGTGATTTTGCCAAGGTCTGTAATGTTTCCTTTGTGATAACAGAAGGGGCTGTTCTGCAGTGGGTTATTGTATCTGCTTCCCAAGGAATGAGGATAGAAGTGGCCTGTGAGTCACATCTGTAGTCATTCAGATGGTTATGTATTGCTATTGTAAGACTTCCTACATAAGATGGAATTTATTTTCACTGTGGTGTGTTTTTGTTTTTTTCTTTTTTCTGGTGGGTTTGGGATTGCAGCTGTATGAACTGGACAGTGACCCGGAGAGAAAAGAGTTCCTGGATGACCTCTTCATCTTTATGCAGAAGAGGGGTGAGTGTGCACCCTACTCATCATTTCAATTCACTGAATATTTATTGAGTGCCTACTGTGTGCACGTCACTCTTAGCCATCCTCCCTGTGGAGTGCCAGCATCTTAGCCCAGGAGGACAAGAGCCATTTATTGCCAGTTGGTCCCATACTTAGCTGAATAATTGGCAGGCAAGTTGAAGAGGGCAGAGAGGGCCTGGTTAGAAAATGAATGGAATGATTATCCAAATTCGGTCCTGCTTTATTCTTGTCACTGTTCTGATTAACTGGTCTCTGGAGTCATTTCAAATTCAAATACACTTCTTTTTCTTAGCCTTATAGTAAGTAGTCCTGGACATCACTTAAAACTCGTATATGGGGCTTCCTGCTGGTGCATCTGGCTTAATAGAGACTTAGAATGGCCAGTGAAAAAATGGAGTCTCTCCAGGATGTGTTGGGAGGATTCTGAAATGATCCAAAAGAAGGAAAAGCTAACTCTTTTTTCCTTATCCATTGTCTCTTTGATTTTTGCATCCACTGGCTTGGTTCGGGTGCTCCTGCAGTTTAACTGTAGGGCACATGGACATCCGCTTTACAGTGCCTTACCACTTCTGGTCTTTCTCCCCTTCTCATTCTCCTCCACCCACCCACCCCCAACCATCTCCACTTGGGACCATGGCATGTCTCAGTCTTGAGCCCACAGTGACTCAACTTCCTGGCTTTGTATTCTGTCACAGCAATGGGTTCAGCAGCTGGCAGCCCTCAGGAAGCATGGTCAGAACCCCAGCCTCTCTAGGAGATAATTCTCGGCAACCTGGGTAGCGGCATCTTCTTCATCCTCAGGACAAAGCCTTAGGGGAGCTGCTCCTGCCGGCATGTTCCCTGGGACCCTGCCTGATCATGTAGCCCTCAGCTCCTTTACTGAGACCTGGGAATGAAGTCCTCCTCTTTATTGTAGGTGGGGCTGTAATGACAGCCTCCAACAATGAAAGATCCTGATTTAACTCCTCTTCTTCCCTCTCTCCCGCTCCCTCTCCCCACCAACCTCATCCCTCTTTCTCTCCCCCTCCTTCCAAAGCCTCATTGCCTTCATAGTAGTATGCCTATTACCGCTGGTTTGCTTACAAAGGCTATCGAAAGTTTTGAGTCTGGTTTTCCCCTCATCCAAGCCTATCAAAGCAGTCTAAGCAGCTCTAATTAGTTTACTCCTCCAACTGTTATCTGGAGCTGCATGTGTCAGTAAAAAACAAGAATATAATCCTGAAAGATAATGTGACTGGCAGCAATGAAACTCCCTGGTTGCCCTGAGAGAGAGAAATCCACTTAATACTTTGGTCTCCCCTTCCAATTACCTTTTAATTATTTACAAGCTCCGCAAGCCCAGCTGGTGCAAACTCAGGAGCTGATCTCGTCTCAGAGGGGCTGCTATAGCAATATAGATTTTAATCAGCAGTGTGCTTCCACTGCTTTAGATTCTGCTTTATTGTTTTTCTCCCTTCCCAGAAGGATTTTTAAAGGAAAATGGAAGTTATATCAGCCTAGCCAAGAGTGAAGAGCCATAATTGTTTGTTTACTACTCTGTGTCCCCAGTAGACGAGGATCTCCTTGAGGACAGCCACTTTGTCATTTCTGTGTGTCCCCAGTGCCAGCACAGGGCCAGACCTGGGGGCAGGGATTGGGAGGAGCCCTGCCCAGGACACATTTTCTGTCAGTACAGTCCTGTTGGTTTTCCTAGCTCAGCTGCCCCAGTGGTGGTGGTGGTGGTGGTGGGGAGCCGCCCCTCCCCCACCCCACCCCCAATTAGCTGCCTGTGATTGGAGGTCAGCAGTACAGAGGGATGTATGCTGAGTGTCCTGCTATTGCACAGCACTGGGGCTGCCAGACTGCCGTCTAGTCTATTCCAGAGTGAACCCAAAGCAGAAGTGACTCTCTTTGATCCTGTCTATTTACGGTTATTCAGGCCCTGAGTAAATCTTTTTTCTTTCTTCAGCACTTATGTTCGGTATTTCACTATTTGCTGGTATCAACAATAGAAGGGAAACAGTTGAGTCAGTTTTGTACTTGTTAATTACTCTAGTATAAGGTTTCTCAGCCTCAGCATATTGATTTTGGGGACTAGATAGTCCTTTGTCTGGGGGAGGGGAGGGGCTCCTCCCCAGTCTTCATAACCAAAAATGTCTGCAGATATTATAAATGTCCCCTGGGGGACAAAAGTGTTCCCCTGTTTAGAACCACTGTCATAGAAGGGTAGGAAAGAAGTTGAAGATCAAAAATTTTCTCTGCAGAGAAACTCTTCAGGGAAGTCATCTTAGCTCCATTCAGAGAGCAATACCTGAGGGTGGCAGGGCCTGTGTGGCAATGGGAGGAACTTCCCGCCTGTAACTGAGGGCCAGACGAGTGGGTGCTGGTCCCCATCCAAGGCTGGGGTGTAGAGACCTGAGAGTTGCCGTAGCCCCAGCAGGGGAAGAGTGGAGGCAGAAATGCAGAGGTGTATATGTGGTCCAGACATGGCTGGAAGAACCCTTGTCTGGCCTAGATGAATCAGGTGGCATCAGATTGTGAAGAGCTGCGTTTAGCCCAGAAGGTAACACTCCAGTCTGTGACATAGCCGAGTTACTGAAGGGAACACCCGGGGAGTGTCACCAGAGCTGTGCTTTCAGGAAGCTCGCTGTGGCAGTCAGCGTGTAGTTGGGCTGAGAGGGAAGACCGAGGCAAGGAGACTGTGGAGGTTAGGTTGTTCCTTTTAAAATCAGTGATCTCCTCCCTGGAAGAGTCATGTCTGAAGACCTAAATTTAGAATGTGATTCAAGGGGACTGGGAGCAGTTTGTGCTTCTAACCACGTGAAGCTTGCTGTCTTTCCTCTTTGCAGAATGGTGAGACCTAGGGCCCCTAGACATCTGTGACTTATTTGTCGTTCCCAAATTGGAGTGTGGGGCACTCAGGAGCCCACTCGTGTTAGCTGGCTGGGTGCAAGGAAGAGCCTCATAGACCTTGGCAGTGGGTCAGCAGCTCATTCTCCAGAGCTAAGATAAAGGATAAGCAATTGATTTTAAAGGAGCCCCGGGAAGCAGCCAGAGTCTGAAAGGCCCAGTGATGCCCACCTGGGCCGTGAGTGGGCTGGACAGCTTTGACACAGAAGCTACACCACAGAGGAAGTGGCCCAGGCTCCAGGGGAGGTGGCACCCAGCCCGTGGCCTCGAATGACTGCAGCTGCAGGTGATAAAACGGCTGTGCAGTGGGAGAGGGGCCTGGCCATAACCGCTGCTTTGTGCTGGGTCTCTCCAGTTTGTTAACATGTTTGGGTGAATTGACTGCAGCAGATGGGCCTTTCAGCTTGAGGCACCTTGGTTTCTAGGCCAGACTGGGTGACTTGCACCCTCGTGATCCCTTACCCCCACCCCCAGCAGAGAAACCTACCCCAGAAGGCACTTGAGAAGAGGCTGAGGCAGTGACCAGTCAGGCACCTGTGTCCTGCCTGCCTCGGAACAGCTGCTGCAGCCTGTGGGGAGGCACAGGGACTGAGGCACGTGAAGCTGGGGCTAGCATCCATCCTGAGCAAATCCTTCCTCTTCCGGGGCCACAGTTTTCTTATGTCTAAGAAGAAAAGGTTTTGGTTACAGTCAATCTGGAAGTTTTTTCCAAGTTCTCTGTTGTGTATTATGTGTCCGTGGTTGTGTCTGTTGAGCTGTGAGCAAACCTTGAGCCACCCTCAATAACCAAAACAGAAGAAAAGCCCCTCAAGCAGTTTTCTATTAAAACAGTTGTGTAAATACTACACCAAGGAGCCCCACCCCCACTCCCCCTCCAGCCAAACCAAATGCTTCATTCCCTTCCTTGCAGAATCATGTGTTTCTTCTTTTGCTGAGTGAAGCCAAACTGAACTAAACAAGTTTCTTTTGCTTGTGCTTCCCACACAGACATGTCTATAGAAAGATGGGTTAGATTTCAGAACTCTGATGCCCCCTTTTCCTCACCTTTTGCCATATGTACATGCAGGTGTGGGTATGTGTGTAAAACACATGCATACACCTTTTTTTGTCAAAAAATAAAGGGCAAACATTTGTAAACAAAATTCCTTGACTAATTTAATTCACTGTGGGTAATTTCTGAGGTGTTATTTATTCCCTGGTAGATTTTCCAGGGGGCCCTATGGGCGAGGGGGGCAGGTGCTGATTTGGAAGTCTCATAAGCAAAGGCTTAAGAACATTCTTCCCTCATCAGTGAGGAAGAAGAGCCTCTTGTCTTGTTCCCCAGGCAGCGAAGCAGAAGTATGATTTCATCAAAGAGGAGGAAGATGATTTTGCTGTTAATTTTATTATTGTTACTATGTGTACTTTACAGAACCCTTTCTACCCATTATCTGATCTGCTGTTCCGCATAGCTCCACCTCTGTGGGATAGAGAGAGCAAAGGTTATCACAGGAGCCAGCCCCCAAGTTAGATGGCTCCCCTGAGGCCACAGAGCTGCTTTAGCACATGGTTTCCTCATCCCCAGGCCGGGATTCTTTCTCTCACCCACACTGCCCTGGAGAAACTTGGCCCCTAGCACCAGCAGCTCCATCACTTTCCATTGGCCCCTAGCACCAGCAGCTCCATCACTTTCCACTGGGGCAGTGAACAAGCCTCTGCTGTCCTTCAGCCTTCTAAGCCCCGCAGGGACTGTGGCCCACCTGCACAGGTCAGGGCCCGGGAGGGTCTGACAGCATCTAGCTAATAAACATGGGGCACAGGTCTTCATGCAAGAAGAGTGTTCGTCTCAGGGTAAGGCAGCCTGTCTTTCAGGGAAGGGCAGGTGTGACGGGTCACAGTGGCACAGAGGCTGCCGTCTGTCAAGGCAGGATTAGGGGGGCTGGGAAAAGCCCTAACAGTAGCATCATGGGCCCCCTAACCAAGCGCCCACAAGCGAGGATCTCTCCTCCAGCCCCTGTCCCAGCTCGCCACAGCAGACAGAAGACCTGCTTGGTCACATGGAAGACAAGTTTTGTCAGGACTTCACCGGAGAACTGCCGTCCCTCCCCCACCAG